GGGCGAATACTTTATATAATATTAATATTAATTGTTCTAATATTATCTAATTTATGTATAAGTAAACTTTATATTTCATTTTATTTATTTTTAAATGTAGTTCAATAAGCAATGAAGTAGCAAGCGGATACAAGGAAGATTTTCCTCCAACATAATGTCCTCCACAGAGAGTTTAAGCGCTTCCTATGACAAAGTATAAGCTACCACAAAGAACAAGACCCAAAAACATACAAAGAAAATGAAACCAAACAAGCCCCTATCCCATTCCAACCACTGGCCACGGCCTCAGTTCAGCAGTGGGCTCGATAGAGAGACTACATGGACCATATATGGGCAGGGGACGCTAACGCCAGTAGAAGCCCGGCAAAAAGATTCCGATCGGTCTTCCAAAGCCCACAGTCGAAACACTCATTCCCCAAACATTTCCCACACAGACAGAAACACCATGAAGCACGAAGTCCAAACTGCGAACCAAAAATATGGTCAGCAACTGATTCAAACCTGCAATCAAATCGACGAACGGGATGGGTAAAACCTTCACCAATACAAAACCTCTATAAATATGAAGTCAAGACGACAAACTAGGTCTACAAAAAACCTAAAGAAAACCTTACCTTTGCAAGCAAAGGAAGGACAAGGAAGGACGAGCAAAAGAGAGAGGAAAAACAAGAAGCAATTACACGAACAATGGTTATTGGCTACATTTGATCTGATACAATCTGTTAAGGTCTATGCAGCCCAGATCCATTGTGGGCTTCCCTTTAATTTCTGTCCTATTTAATATTACTGGTCAGAGTTTATTTGACTCTCCATTTACCTTTCTAATCTAAATATGAAAGAAATGTAAACCCATAAAAATAAATATTAATTATTATATATGTCTATAATAGTGAAATGCATATTTGAACGTGAGTATTAGAATTACAACTAAATATATAAATGAAGATGAATGACCAATATGATATATGAATTAATGTGAATGTTAGTTAATTTATAATTAATGTCAAGGAACATATACGTGATAATGAATGTCAAATCATTTATATTAAATAAATATAAATTAATTTTCAATTAAGTGAAATTGGATACTAATTAGCATATATGAACATGAATAATGAACTGTATTCTTGAATGCGAAATTTTAATTAATATTAATTAAATGAATGTGAAAAGTTTAATTGAGAATTAATTAGTGTTTTAAAAATCGAATCAACCCGATAGGTTCAATCGGGAAAATTGGTAATTAGGATCAAATTGGTCTAGTTAGGCTTATAAAACCTCTAATTAAAAATCCACCCAAAAACCCATTAAACTAACCGATTTTTGGAAAACCTGTGACCCGTTCCCAATTCAACAAGTTCAACTTATGTAAATTTATGTGTGTGTATATATATATATATATAAATTTTAAATGTATATTTTTAAAATTTTTCAAAAAACCACGGTTTGATCCCATTTCAACATCGATTTAACATTTTGACCTTTGACCTTATCTTTTTTTTTTGGGTCAATGGCTGGGTCAATTTGAAACTTTGAAATTAATAACATGGATATGGATATGGATATGAATGTGAACGTGAAGTTCTAATTAATACTAATTAAATGAATGTAAATGTTAATTAATTGAGAATTAATTATAGTATTTATTATAGTTTGAAAATTAAATACATATTGAAAAATGAAAAGTATGATGTTATTTAAATAATTAAATTGTAGTAAGACTATAATAGTCCACAAAATTATTTTCACTTGATGTGATATTTAATATATTATAAATATAATGATTGTTTAGTATATCTAAATTGATTGTCTACTAGTAATATAAAACTAGTCCTAGTCAATAATTTTGTTTAGTCTTGTAAAATATTTATTTTTCCTTCTTATTCAAAGATTGATAAATCATAAATAATTCAATATTTGTATTTAACAAACCATTGACATATATTCCAACAACTATAATATATATTAAGCCCCTTAAGGTGAAATTAAAATATGAATTTTAATTTAAGTCAAAATTTACAATTAATTTCAACCACATATTTTATGAAATCCACAATTTTCAACAATACATCTCATTACCTTTTATCAAATCTATCGAAAATCTAATTTCAATCCCCACCAAACAAAAGCTAAATAACTTATTTTCAATACTTATTTGAAAGGAAAATGCAATCTAGCCCATTGATTATAACCTCAAACTATGTGGTGTTAGGTGATATGCTAAATAAGAGTTGCAATTAAATTATTCATTTAATTGTATTTATAATTTTGTCCATGTTTGGTCCCCATTAAATTACATTACATAATTTTTCTCTCTTCATTACAACCACATATTCATCAAATAAAATAATATTACACAAAAATCTAAAACTTTTCATTACTTTTCCAACACACATTCTCCCATCAATCACTATTCCAAAAATTTTTAACCATAAAAAAATGCAAAATAATAGGGACCAAACAAGGGCTAATGTCACATTAATGTGACATAAATTGAGATTATAACCCTCAATATGGATAAATATTCTTATTCCAAAGCACAAATGTTGACGTTGTCAAACTTATTGAATTGGTTCATAAAAATTCATTATTGTCAACGTTTGCACACTAACTCATATCTGAATCAACTTCGTTATTTCCAATAGCTTCATCTTCCACACCAAAATCATGGCTCGTTTCATTTAAAACATCCAAATTATTTATTCCAAAAACCACAAGGGATTCTTACAAGGAACCCAATCCCCCAACCTCCTCCTCCAATTTTAGAACCAAGGCTCTCTTGGTATGAAATATTAAAAACTTTTGGTAAAAATTAGTACTTATAAATCATTTTTTTATTACGTTGAAAGTAACTAAGTACACGACAATTCTTAAATCAAATTTTATTAAATCACAATTACATACGATCTTCCCTAGACTTACCACTCTTTAATATATCAACGAATCTAGGAAGTACAACGTACGATAAATTAAATTTCATTAAACCACAAGCTCATATATTCTTCTTCCTTGAGACCTCTTGCATACCATTCTACACAAGGATCATTCATTACATAGCAGTAGGGGTATTTAAGGAAGAAAAAATTGGTACCAAAAACGTCATAAAACAATGGACGTGTGATGCATAGTAGATGATGAATATAGACAACCATTTATGTTATAAGCTGGATGAAACTTATTATAAAATAACATAGGTTCCTCTAATAACAAGTACTCCAAATGTCATTTAGATCCCTCATAATAAACACATTATTTTGCTTGAAAACTCAACTTTACTAGAATAATCAATGGTTTCCCTTTTAGCCCATAGTGTATGAAGGAGTTGGCAAATTGATCACAGTGCTCTTCACCTTTGTCATCATGTTAATGCTGTTGGTGATTCCTTGTGATCCAATTCCACTGTCCTTAAGGCCCTGTAATAAAACCAGGTTTTAATGCTTTATGGCCCAATGAGATAATAACCTTCAAAGTTAATAATGAATTATTCGGTATTCTTCCCAATAATTTTCCGGTTTTATCTTAATTCCAGCATACCTGGAATGGAAAATGATCAGGACCACGTGCTGGAGCTGAGTTAATCTGAACTGTCCCAGTCTCCATGGCATCGCTTATCAGCATTGCCTTGTTGATATCTTTTGTGAAGACACAGCCCTGTAACCATAAAGCATTTGATTATGGTAATATTTTAGTAAACTGGGTCGTAAAATTTTTAACTGAGCATGAAATGTTGGAGTTAAATTTGCCGGTATTTTTTCCAACTGGTTCCAGGTTCCTAGAGTTAAGATAAACCAAGGTAAAATCAATTTACCAACAAAAATCGAACATCAAAAGGAACACTATTGTGGCCTTTATGTAACAAAATGGAAAATATTGTTTTCTGCAAAAGACAAAAGACACAATAGGAAAAAAATTCTCAGTAACGACGTTGTTGTCATATTAAGGCAGGCTGAAATTTACCTGGAGTCCAAAGTTGCTTGCATTGCAATGATGAATTCCTTCTTCAATAGAACCAATTCTTATAACTGGCAAGACTGGTCCAAATGGCTCCTCCCATGCTATTCTCATGTCAGGTCGCACATTATCTAACAAAAGAGGCCAGATGAGGTTGCCATCTCTCTTGTACTCCTGGCAAAATGTTGCTCCCTTCTGTTTAGCGTCGTTAACCAGTCCCTCGATAAAGTTTGCAGATGATTCAGAAACTACTGGAGTGATATCACAGTTATCCTCGGGTGGACCGACTGTCAATTTTGCCACTTTGGCCTTCACTTTCTCGACAAGAGTGTCCGCAACGGATTCCATCACCAAGACAACCTTAACAGCTGTGCATCTTTGACCACTGTTACAGATATGGACATAAAATTTATGTCTTAGTCACTTGCAATGATATATTTTGCGCAAGTCATTCGGAACTTCACAATAAGGTTATCCCACCTCCCATTTCGTAGAATGAATCACATTATATTCTCCAGCAAATTATCATTGGTACATCCGCATAAATGCTGCATAGAAGATACAAACTTTTCTGGTTTTCAAGGCCCAGTTTGTCTTGATCGTTGCTTATTTTGGTTAATCTTTTGTGCATTTGTATACTTTTGGCATGAAGAAATAGGTTCGGTGTAAAGTTTTTCAAGCCAAGTTTGCTGGTGCACTAGGATTGTAGAAACTTCACACTCAAGAGTATATGAAAGATAATTCTTTTCCTTAATCTCAGAGAAGTTTTAATTTGTTATTATAAAGTTCATGGCTAGAGAATTAATATTGTTTCACCATGCACATAACTTCAGATCTTATCTGTAGTATGACAAAGTGATCAGGCATTCATATTATCCTTCAGCACTTCATTAGGAGAAACAGAAAATAGTTTGTATAGCACAATTTACTTTCTCTATAATATAGTTCCATACACAAGACTTTACTAAAATAGATGATTTGAAACAGTGAAAGAATATTAAAGTTCATTCAGACCTGTAAGAAAAGCCTCCTTTAATGATGTTTGAAGCCACCAAATCTAAATCAGCATCCTCAAGCACAATGCAAGCATCTTTTCCTCCCAGTTCCATTTGAAGAGGGATCATGCCTGCTTTCTTCGAAATTGCAATTCCGGTGTCACCACCAGTAAAGCTGACAAAAACAAGTTCACAGTTACAAAAGGAGAGAATGATTGTCGTAATTGGAAGGAGAAAACAGATGTTGTGTATTCTTGGAGTGAGCACAAATATCAATTGAAACATAAGAGGAACTCATGTGCTATCTAATGAATAGCGAATGATGGCTACCTTATGCAGTTCACCCCCGGATGCATCGTCAAAAAATCACCAATTTCAGAGCCCTTCCCGGTGATACAGTTGATAAGTCCTTTGGGGAAACCAGCTAAGTGGAAGCAATGTACCATATGAAGGCAAGCCACTGCACCCTGTGAGGCAATGGTTTAGTTCAAGAATCAGGACTAGATTTATAGGGCCAGTTTGGTATGGTATTATACAAAATTGGACAGTATTAAGGAAGAACAAGAAGCTCAAATCTCGTCCATTGTACTGTACAGTCATGTGCATTATTCCGTACACGCACTGGTTGTTTCTGGTAGGCTTATTCTCTCTCTCTCCAGGCACACAGAACCAGGCACGTGAATTTGATTAACAATAACTAGTAAATTTGTGGTACAGATATATAACAACATAAAGAATAAGTTTACTCGTGAGATTAATAAAATAGTACCTGAGTTGGGGGTTTGAGAACAAGGGAGTTTCCAGCAATCAGGGCCGGCCCAATTTTTGAGACAGCAAGGTTGACGGGATAGTTAAAAGGAGGAATTGCTAAAACAACACCCAAGGGAACCTGTAATGTATATTTCAATTAGAATACATAATTATGACATTTTAAGAAAAGTAATCAGAGCACTGTCAAAATTTGCATGTTCAAATGTTCAGATTTATGTACTCTCTTCGGTTATTTCAATACGAGCAAACAGAAACTTCTAAAATTCACATAAAGGGGAAATTTTCAGGCAGACCTGCACAAATTACAGATATATCCAAAAGTTTACATTCTCTAATGTGATGGCCAACTTAAATTTAATCAACTTGGTGCTAAAGAATAATGTTAAAAATAAGATGTAAGAACAATATATATATACCTTGGATGTAAGACAGTATTTGGTCCTTTCGTTCCCCGGGAAACTGTCTGATACTAGGAATGAGCCCTGTCCCAAAAGTCTAACCCCTTCTTCAGCACAATACGAAACCAGATCTCCAGACCTCACAACCTTAATTAAGACAACAATATCAGGATAACTTTTTGTGTCATATCCCAGGACCAATATGCATTTTAACTCAGTAGAAGTTAATAGCTACCTCAGTAACAGAATCCTTTGCTGGTTTTGCAATTTCCTTCACTAAACACTCTCCAATTGGGGCTTTGTGCTCTTTCAGTATAGCAGCTGCTTTGTGAAGAAGCTCGGCACGCTTCCAGAGCGGAGTTTTTGCCCATGCCTTTTGTGCAACTTTTGCCATTTCCATTACTTTGTTCACCTCTTCTTGTGTACAAGCTGGATAAGACCATGACCACAGACAAGAAATAAGTAATTTTCCCTAATAAATTAAAATTAAGATTATAATCTATTATTTGCATGAAACAAGAATTGCAGAGACAAACATGCCATCGAATTAGCCCTTTTCCCTGATCAATAAGGACACTATTGATATATCACACATTTTCAGAATTCAGTCACTTCAATTAAATTCAAGAACTTCAAAAATTTTAATATGAAGAAGAAAAAAGTGGATATTTTAGTTTTTCCATAAAGCAGTACCAATTAATATTTAGTATCACAAAATCTTTATTCCTCTCAAAAGAAAAGGAACACGCTTTTGAAAAATAACCTCTGGTCACGATGAAACTTCTTTTAGAAATCCCACTCAAAACTTCTAATTAACTTCAACTAATCCAAGTGTGACAAATAAACAAGGGAGAATCATCAAATTCCCCCCCAAAAAAAACAAGCAAAGAAACATCAATGTACACGAAACATGTGATAATAATTTGTAATACCTTGGACCTTGTATTGAACCTTTCTTGTAGTAGGATTAATGATCGAAACAGATTTTCCAGAAGAAGACTTTTTCCACTCTCCATCAGCGTAGTAGTTGAACACATCTCCATCAATTATCTCTGCAAAAACTCCACTTCCAGCCATTTTCAAAGCTCTAAAACTCCTCCCTAATTCTCTGCAAAGTTTCAGAGAGAGAAACTGCAGAGCAAGAAAGTGAAGAATGGTGTTTGGTCAATTGCTGGTAAGGGACTGGTGTGGCTGCTAGAGAATCAAAGTGTGTGCGTGTATAAATATTGGAAGAAGGGGAACCACACCTGTTCAAGATTACAGACTTAAATTTATTTTCGACATTTGACACCAGTTTTTTCGTTATTTTACGAGGTAGCCACTGAAGCTACAGTTTGTCGTTTGGTTAGTAGCGGTTATAAATGAATTAATCTTGGTTGCTAAATTTTGTTAACAATGTTTGATGTGATAAAATTTGAATAGTTGATTTCAAAAATAATTTTTGGAAATTTTTAAAACGAATGAATATGATAAAGATTGTCAACAAATATTTGTCTGATATCATTGTACATGTATCATGATTGAGAATTTTTTGGCCACGTTGTTGGTTAGAAACGTTACACGTGGGAACACTTTCTTATTTTTTAATTGTATTAAATAAAAACACCTAGGTCTTTATACAATTATCAAGAACCATTCCGAATTTTTTGTTTTTTTCTTAAACATCAATTTTTATACTTGTCGATTGAGTAATTGGTTCTTTCAAAAGTTCATTAAAATTTATTTTAAATTTTACTTTCAACACATCTTTAAGCGTACAAGTCTAATTTAATTTTTAATCAAATAACTTATATATACAATGTTTCTTATCTTTTTTATTGTGCTCTTTACTTGCTTGTCATTTTAGCATCTGTTGGACAATCACTATTTGGAAAAAAATAGAGTTTTGAACAGTGATTTTTTAAAAAATATGTGATTAAAAAGTAGGAAAAAATTTGAATTTGCGTGAAAAATATTTTATTATTTAAATATATGATTGGAAATAAGTTCGTAAAAAAATAATTTGAAAATAATAATTGTCAAACAGGGACTTAAGAACATGTTTGAGCCTCATTTTTTTACAAAAAACTGTATTTTGAAATAGTGATTTTATGAAGAATGTGTGACTAAAACCTAAAGAAAATTTTTAATTTACATGTAATATTATTTTATTGGAGAATATGATAGAAAATAAGAGAGAAAATGTATTTTAAAAATAGTTAATATCAAACAAGGGCTAAGAAGGAAGCAAGAAAAGATTGAACTATATTTGCAGCCTTGATGGCATCTCAATTTCAGTTGTAGGAAAATCGTAATTGTGTGGGACATACACATATATCAATTAAGTTGATCAAGAATCCAACAAGATTTTCAACTAGAATAAAACGCTCACCAGACACCTAGAAATATTAATTTTGAAAAGAATAAAACACGAAACATTGTATTAAAATTAACAACGTCAGCCTTGCTAAAATTTTAATGGGATATATAAACCTTAAAATAATAATAATAATAATCAACAAATTTAGGCCAAACCATTAATAAAACAAGGCAAGTCATTTTTTAGTTGAAACTCCTAACAAAACCAATAACAAAAGTACAATTCCTTAACACAGTTTCAAATATTTTTGTCAAAGTTTTCAGAAGTTTCGAAACTAATTAAAAAATTTAAAAAGAAAATGGAAAACCTCTATCGAATTTTAGAAATATCTTCAAGAATTGCGATATTTCAAAAAGGGTCCACAATATGTTCGAAATAAGAATTCTAACATTTTTAAGTTTACGGGCAACCTAAATTCCAAGCATAATGCTAGGCGAGAGCAATACCCTAGCGTTTAGTGCAAGCTTTGATGACAGTGCTTGGCTATAAAATATAGTAATGCTAAATGTACATAATTATTTATAGATGGATGACATGATATTATATTAATATTCATTTCCTTTTCTCCTTTTTTTTTCTCTCTCTCTCTCTCTCTCTCTCTCTTTCGATTTTTTTCTCTTTCCATATACATCAATCTATAAATAATTATATACAAATAGCATTAACCTAGAAGATAATGCGACAAGAGACTCACGCAATTTATATTGGGTTGTGCTAGATGTACACCTAATTCATTACATAATGAATTACACCCCCCTCACATGGAATGGAGTTCACGAATATTTTATTGCCTGTGGGCCCCTTTCCATGTGAGGAGGGTGTAATCCATTATGTAATGAATTGTGTACATTTAGACTAATCCATTTATATTTGCTTGGCCTTAGGAGGACTCAATATAACATTATATAGTCCTTGGTTCTTTTAGGTAAGAGGAGATGAAAACGGTTAAATTCCATACATAAAGGATGATCCTATCGTCCCTTATCCTCTCACACTCAGTATACTTGTACAATGTACACAAAATCTTCACTGTGCTAGGGTTCTTCTTTCATCGTTCACGGAATACTTACTATGCAATATTGAATATGACTGTATAGTAATTTTTTCTTCTTGAATACTATCAAGTACCTTGGGTTTTATTACTGCCCAATATGTGATAGATGATGTCAGCAGCCCCCAGGAGGTTGGAACTATATGTGCAACAGCCATAACCATGCAGTATGGACTGTACTTGATGTGCTTAGTATGGGCATCTGATGCACTACTAAAAGACAAGAATATATCCTCATCCTTCCTGCCTAATGAGGATGATAAATGGGAGAATATGGCATATGGCCGGTAGGAGTTGGCTAGTAGCCATGCCTAATGAGAGTTATAACCCTTCTTCTGTAAATGCTTTTCTTAAATGCAAACATGCAGGTGATGGGGTTATATTAGGAGTTGGCATGATTTTGGTCAACCATTTTAAAAGAAGTGACACAAAATCCTTATGTATTAGTTAACACTTGGTATTAAATCAATGTTGAATTTATTCTTGTTCTATTTCTTGTGTATCTATTTCATCTATATACGATATGAGGTTTACTTAATATAAATCTTGAAATACGTGTTGTGCCAATTGAGTTTTAGACGGATCAAATAGATCGTTTGAGCTTAATGTGACTTAGTATAAAATATTGAGAGTTTGAGACTTGATATTCCATCTTAATATATCAACATTGTCAAGAGGATTAGACAAGTCCTTTTATATATTGATTAGCATTTCAGTATTAAACCGATGTAGAATTCACTAGTTAGCTACAGATTTATGCACCAACTATTTAATTTTGAGCACTAAAATTAATGTTATCAAAATCGACTCGGTCACACCAGTTCGACTAGGGATCGGATCAAGAACTGGGCCAATCATGTCTGGTTAATCGATTTTAACAAAAATCGTTAGATAGACCAGTTTAGCCCTAATTCGATGATCCAATGTTGGTTTTACCGATTTTCCCTATTTTAATTCAAAAGTTTTAAACTTCATTAATGTGCTCATCCACTACAATCAATGACCCATAAAGGACTCTTGGATGGCATGCTTTCATAAATGCACTTCTCTCCAATGTTCTAAAAAATGTGAAAGTGTGATTAGGCATGAAAACAAAATTTCAAGATTTACGAATTTAAATGAACCTAAGCGGGACCTAGGAGTAAAAAAGCATTTTTTTTAATATTATTTTAAAATTTTAATCATTCTAAAAATCATTTAATAAATAAAATAATATATCAAACATCTAAAATTGTAAAATATTATATTTATTTAATAATTCCTATAAATAGTCAATTATACAATTTTCAAATTTTTGAAATGCAAATATTCTACTTTCATCATTTCAATTTTCAATTAGACAAATCCTATTTAATAGATTTATAGGAACTTTATACATGTTTCGGAGTTTTCAACAAAATAATGAGTCTTAAAATCATAATTACATAATGTAGATAATATCGTAGCTGAAATCTTATTTAAATCTTTATTGGATAAAGCCTTTTTTATTTTTTTTACTTTTACACATATAAAGTCTTTTTAAAATCAGAAAATAAATTTTTTTTAAAAAAATAAAAAAAAATGAAAAAACTAAAGTCAAATAAAAGAAATTTTAAAAATTAAAAAATTAAAAAGGAGCGTTTAGGGAAGACGAAAGAGTGGAAAGGAAAAATCAATCTGTTTAGAAATTGGGAAAAAAAAATGCTTAAGCGCGAAGAGATGTGTTTTGCACAACCTTCGAGCCTAGGCGGTGCCTAGGACAATGTGATAGCAAAAAAATGTTAAAATGTCTATCAAAATCATTTTTCAAATGGATGTCTAATTGACTAATTTGATTTTGGGTCCCAACTAACTAAATCGTAATATTCACATCCATCTTTTCATCTATTTAATTTTCAATTTTAACTTAAATTGCACTTCATTATTAACATAATAATGTTAGATATTATTTTCTATAGATCAAATTATTTCATTTTTAACAAAACAAACTATTTTAACATATTTATTTTTAGTTTTTGAAGTATCAAGATTAATTGTAGGATAATAAATCTAATTAACAAACATAGATTACTTTGAATTAGTAATGTGTTAATGAAAAAAATATATATATTGTTTTCATAATATTTTATGGTTTTTGTATGTGTTTATTTATTACATTCAATTCAATTCTGGATGAATCTTTTGACCATTAACCATTTATCTTTTTTCGAGTTGATGTCCGAGTTGGTTTTCAAAACATTGGTAATATGTTCAAAAAGTCAACCTAGAAGGTAATAATTTGGTTGTGCTTAAAGTTAATTTTTTAGAAAGTTGTTAAACACCTTGTTATTATAGATTTTTTGAGAATGAGTTTTACGAAAAATAATGAGTTCAAAAATATAGAAAAATATTGAGTTTACGTATAAAATTATTTTCTTTAAGAGAATAATTGGTTGAAAATTAGTTTGAGGAAAAAAAATGAGTTTTTTTTTTTAAAATGGGGACTAAAACAAGGGCTAATACTTATCTCTAGAAGTAGTTGTTTATCCAGAAATGATCTAATGAGTACCGGTGCTCATCTTATNGTGCTCATTAGATCATTTCTGGTTGTTTATCTACTTTTTAGCACATGCAAATACGCTTCAAAACTTTTTAGGTGAAAGTTGTTTGCCCTTGTTTTGATATATGAAATGGGAGTAGGTAAATATT